GTGTCTGAAGAGCTAAACCAGAACCCTGAATCCATCCTGTAGACCTGTAGTCATAGGAGGGTTGTCCCTCATCAGCAATGTTACTGAGTGAAGTGTCTTCAAAATAAAAACATAAATGAGACGTGGCTTTTGGCTTCAAGGTTACAGTTTGTGAACCAGACTGATAAAACCATATTTCCACATATACATGCAACAAACCCGCCCTTCACACAGGACTGGAAGGATGTGATACATCATACTGAATAACCAATGAAATTGTATTTTGTTCATTAGGTTATAAAACAGTGCACACACAGTACCTGGGAATAAAGTATTTATTTACTAAGGTGAAGACAAGTGAAGGGTAATGAGGATATATACAGTATCTGACAAAAGAGAGAACACCCCTCACATTTGTGTAAAATTTGATTTTAATCTTTTCATGTGACAACACAGCGCTTTACACATTAATGTCTGTGTGAAGTGTTATTTTGAGGGGGCAGCAAATTTACACTGTTATACAAGCTGCAACGCTCACTACTTTACGCTATTATACAAGCTGCAACGCTCACTACTTTACACTGTTATACAAGCTGCACGCTCACTGCTTTACACTGTTATACAAGCTGCACGCTCACTACTTTACACTGTTATACAAGCTGCACGCTCACTGCTTTACACTGTTACACAAGCTGCACGCTCACTACTTTACACTGTTATACAAGCTGTACGCTCACTACTTTACACTGTTATACAAGCTGCACGCTCACTACTTTACGCTATTATACAAGCTGCAACGCTCACTACTTTACACTGTTATACAAGCTGCATGCTCACGGCTTTACACCGTTATACAAGCTGTACGCTCACTACTTTACACTGTTATACAAGCTGTACGCTCACTCTCACTACTTTACACTGTTATACAAGCTGAACGCTCACTACTTTACACTGTTATACAAGCTGCACGCTCACTACTTTACACTGTTATACAAGCTGAACGCTCACTACTTTACACTGTTATACAAGCTGCACGCTCACGACTTTACACTGTTATACAAGCTCACTACTTTACACTGTTATACAAGCTGTACTCTCACTACTTTACACTGTTATACAAACTGCACGCTCACTACTTTACACTGTTATACAAGCTGAACGCTCACTACTTTACACTGTTATACAAGCTGCACGCTCACTACTTTACACTGTTATACAAGCTGAACGCTCACCACTTTACACTGTTATACAAGCTGTACGCTCACTACTTTACACTGTTATACAATCTGTACAAGCTGCACGCTCACTACTTTACACTGTTATACAAGCTGCACGCTCGCTACTTTACACTGTTATACAAGCTGTACGCTCATACTTTACACTGTTATACAAGCTGTACGCTCACTCTCACTACTTTACACTGTTATACAAGCTGCACGCTCACTACTTTACACTGTTATACAAGCTGTACGCTCACTCTCACTACTTTACACTGTTATACAAGCTGAACGCTCACTACTTTACACTGTTATACAAGCTGCACGCTCACTACTTTACACTGTTATACAAGCTGAACGCTCACTACTTTACACTGTTATACAAGCTGTACGCTCACTCTCGCTACTTTACACTGTTATACAAGCTGCACGCTCACTACTTTACACTGTTATACAAGCTGTACGCTCACTCTCACTACTTTACACTGTTATACAAGCTGAACGCTCACTACTTTACACTGTCATACAAGCTGCACGCTCACTACTTTACACTGTTATACAAGCTGAACGCTCACTACTTTACACTGTTATACAAGCTGCACGCTCACGACTTTACACTGTTATACAAGCTCACTACTTTACACTGTTATACAAGCTGTACTCTCACTACTTTACACTGTTATACAAACTGCACGCTCACTACTTTACACTGTTATACAAGCTGAACGCTCACTACTTTACACTGTTATACAAGCTGCACGCTCACTACTTTACACTGTTATACAAGCTGAACGCTCACCACTTTACACTGTTATACAAGCTGTACGCTCACTACTTTACACTGTTATACAATCTGTACAAGCTGCACGCTCACTACTTTACACTGTTATACAAGCTGCACGCTCACTACTTTACACTGTTATACAAGCTGCACACTCATCTGTAATATTGGAATCTCAACATATAATTTTAACGGTTTCGCAAATGTCTCCAAACAAAACAAGATCTTTACGTGGCTGAAGAAAGATATTCAAATTGTTGGCGTGCAAGAAACACATTCAAAATTAGATAGCAAATTAAAATGGAAGTCTGAATGGGGAGGAAATTTTTATATTAGTCATGGACTCAGCAATAATAGAGTAGTAATCATTCTATTTAAACAAAATGTAGATTACACAATTCTGCACTTTTTCCTCACAAAATCTGCCAGTACTGGGAAGATGAAATTAATGCACCAATCCCATGGAAAGAGTACTTTAGATCAATTTATAACACTACAGTAGATTCATATTCAAGAATATTCCTACTAAATAATCATTGTAAAATTGTATATTTTCAGGGTGTGAATGTGAGTGTGAATGGATAAGCCTGAAGAGTTTTTGTAGAGTTTTGTTCTGTATTTTCTTTTAATAAAAAGAAAAAAAAAAGAAAAATCCTTCCTTCCAGGTACCGTACACTTCCTGCCAGTAGTTGCAACACCCCTTTGCTCTAGTCACAAATTAACAAGAAAAATATCAAGTCAAAGAATAATAATATTTTCTAATTTCCAATGCATACAAAGCAGATCCAGCAGGTCTAAAACCAAGACTAAATGAGCATTTGTTCTCTAGATCTTAAATGAAAATTACACACAAGAAGCAGAAAAGACATCAATCATGGGTTGTCACCATCTTCCTTCTGTTATTTAATCTCTAACTGACGTTGCTTTCATTTTCACAGTGGCTGCTGATGTTTAGGCAAACAGTGCCTTCTTTCCTGATTAAAATGATTATCTCGATGTCATCAGGGAATGCATACATGAGACGTCCTGACAGGAGACTTAAAGGTCTTAAAGTTTACTGAAAATTTATATTTACTATATAAACTGAAGACTCCGGACCTTCCCCTCCTTATCACACCTTTTTTCACACCTCCCCTCATGAGTGCTAGATACACAAATCAGGGACGCTTTACCTTTTGGTTTAATTTACAGCAAAAGCTTCCTCTTTACTGGAAACCAGCGTTATTTTGAGACTTCAGCATGCACTGCCGCTGAGCATGTCACGATAAAGGTCTCCAGAGGTAAAGGTCTCTTAAGTCAAAGGTAAGGTCAGGCACAAGAGATAAGTCTTTATTATCCATTTCAGGAAACTTGTCTTTGGCCTCACCAGGTTCATTATAAAACATTCAGCAAACAGGGGGTTTGAAGGATCCCCCCACAATTCACTGTGCTTTCTGTCTGCAGTGGAGCGTATATATCTCACTCAGCTGTCTCTGTGGTGTACGTATGATTTTCACAGGCATTTTCACAATCCTTGCTAATTTAGACCTATTTCTATCCCCAAGACAACCATACCATGTTGATATGTTGTACGTGAGACCAACTCTAGGGTATTTTCACTTACAGAGAAGCTGTTCAACTTCCCAACAAATACATCATTGCATGGCCTTTTTATAGATATAGTCAGAGTTCGCTGCAAAACTCAATCTACTGTCAAGTTGTATTTAAAGTCCTCCACAATGTCAACAGGACGGTCATTAATGTTTACTGTGTTTAGGCAAAGTGGGATGTTATTACTGCAGATTAGTCCTTAGTTTTACTGGCATTTATAACTAGAGCACTGTTTGAACACCAGCAAATTGAGCTAGTCAGTTAAAGATTATCAGTCTTAAAGCGACGGCAAATCACGTTACTTTATGGTTTGTTTACGTGTCAGGCAGTCAAACGGTTTCTATGAAGGCCCCCCAAGAACCAGAACCAGTGGCTTCCAGTGTCCTTTGCTTCACATTCATCTCGTTCTCACAACAGTACTTAACTTTTTTAAATGTCCCTTTTGCTCATGCTGCAGAGGCGACGCCATCCTTTCTGCCTTCTCTTCTTCTTCTACTATAACCCCCTCCAGGCCGACCTCCCAGGGAAAGTTTATTCCTCTCTGCTTCAGCACAGCGTCCACACGAGAGGAAAACACAAAGGACAGTCTGAATGATGAACTGTGTTCCCAGCTTAAGCGATCTTTGTGTACCTGAGAGACGAGACAGAGACAAGAACTGGTGAAGAAGAGTTTCCAGAGCTGACAGGAGGGAGGTTCCCAACATCTGGCTCTGGGCCCAAACACGGACTCAACACGTGAAGTTAGGTCATCAGGCAGCACGAAGGCTCACATTTCATCTCACCTGTACCTGAAGCAACACGGTGAAGTGTTCACACCCAGAGAGCAGCTTACACACAGCCTCCATGGACCACAATGCAACGCTGCATACTGCTTCAGTACATGTGATTTATATGTTTGAATTCAGAAACTGATGTGTGACGACGTC